TACGCAAAATACTAAGAAACTTTGTGCAAGTGACCGGAATACCGCATACGATTCTGTTATTTTTCTTGATAATTATTGTAATCAAAGAAATGTAAACAAAAGTTAGTAAAGAAAATAATTACGTACTTTTTGTAAATAATCTTTTAGTTCTTGTCTTGAAGAAAAAGTTTTTGGACGATGTGGAAGATGAGGACCATTCTTGCCAACATGTTGTGTTAATAGTACCATTTGTAGACATAATAAAATTGAAAATAATACTAATAATAAGAGATTTATTGAGATTTTCATGATAATTGATGAACGTAATATAAGATCAAACAAAATATAGGACTTGAATATCAAATATTATCTACTGTTGTGTTTCTATTTTTATTATGCACTTTGGAAAATATGTGTTTTTTATTCCGTATTTCAATTATGTCTTTTTATTTCTTCTCTTTATTTTTTGGTAAAAAAATATTTGTCAGTTGAAAATTGTTTAATTTGAGCAGAAACCATTTTATTTTGATTAATTTTCATGTGATGAACGTAAAAAGAGATTAATGAAAATTCTATAAAAAGGATTACTAAAGAATGTATAAACGATGAGAAGATTTACACTGACATATATCAAAAAAGAAGAATTAAAGATAAAATTAGAATTTGTTTTATCATAATCGAAAATTTGAACTATGGAACTTTTTTATATTTTATTCTTTGTCAAAATGAACCAATTTTTGTTCAATGATAAAGCGCACCTTTTGTTAGTGTATTACATTATACACTTGAAGTTCATTCTTTGAGAAAATTAAGAGCATTTCTCTTTCAATTTGTCAATAGTTAATACTTGTTAGCTAGTAAAATGGAAAAAAATTCTTGAAAAGGACTTTTGTAGATTTTCAACTTTGCATCTTCAATTGTTGTCAATATTAAAAAAGATTTCTCTAAATATCAGCTCCTTCTATGTTTTCACCATATACGATGATGTCCTGAAAACTTTCCTGTCAAACTGATTGGCATCTCACAGTGTGCATCCAGGCCGGATTTTGATGAAAAAATGAAAGTTGATTTTTCAGTCATTTAAGGATGATTAATATACTTTGAAACATGCTCTATTTAATGGCAAAAATTTTTATGTCCTAGAATTTATTTAAGCTGGAAAAATTCTATACACAAAACCACACTAAAAAACCCGTGTCCATCGAAACATCGGATTATACGCAAAAATTTTAAAAAATCAAACATAGTTATTGGGCAAACAAACATATATTGAGGAATCAGCAACAAGTGCGTTATCGATTGGTAAAAAAGCTTTTCTATTTTTGGGCTTTCTAAGTTGGAGAAAGAAAAAAAACATTTTTCAAAGGAGATGTATTTGATGTAATGCATGCGCGAACTTTAGCGAAATTCCAACGCTTCTGGGCAAATGACCTTGAAGCTAGTTCAAAACTGTCGACATTTAGTGATAGTAAGCGTACGTACCACTCGGACACAAATGATTAAGCGAAGTTCTCTAAGATGTTATTACTGGCTAAATAAGTGATGTAAATCCGCTCTGATTTCTTAAATCTTCCGTATAAAGCAAAGAGATATGATATACTAAAATATGTGTTTAGCATTTTATACTTTGACTTTTATAGCTGATCTGAATTGCATAATTAATTAAAATTTTTAGATATTTATATAAAAAATAATTTTTGCACAACCGTAGTGTAATCAGTACTAAGACCAATTGAATATTTTTTGTCGTAATCGTTCTAAACTTGCAATACTAATAAATAATTGTGACGGTGTCTATAGAAGAGTGTTTGTACAATTGATGCGGTGGTAGAAACTAGTTTTTATTTCATGGTTATTTGTATGCAGTTTTACATAAAGTGCACTCGTGTAACGGCATCTTCTTCTTTCCTGAATATACTTAGGTCACGAGGCAAAATCAAACTCGACAAAAAGATAAAATTAATAAAAGTATTAAAAGGTTTCTGTTGACTACCTTAACATTACAGCTGAAGAATAACGATTTATTGAACTTGTGAACATCGCTATTCGATCACAAAGTTATTTCATACACAAATAAAATGTATTTTAATTCAATATTTGTCTGTGTGCTTGAGTTGCGGATGACGGTTGAAAAAACTAAACACAGAATTGCGTACTATTGGCTACAAAATTGAATTGTATTCTCAGTTTTCATTTGTCAAACACACAGACAAATATTGAATTAAAATACGTTTTATTTGTGTATGAAATAACTTTGTGATCGAATAACGATGTTCACAAGTTCAATAAATCGTTATTTGTGCTGTATTATCCTTCAGTTGTAATGTTAAGGTAGTCAACAGAAACCTTTTTATACTTTTATTAATTTTATATTTTTGTCGAGTTTGATTTTGCGTTTATAGTTCGAATTAACCTCGTAGATAAGTGTGAAACCTTCAGAAATTCATCAAGATGCCCTTTACATATAAAATCACTTCGTAACGTTAGTTTTATTAAATGAATTTTCTAGGTCTCAAGAGAATCGTATTGATCATGAGAAGTTTTTGCAATGCACAAGGGATCATTTTGATGGTTTGAACCAGAAACGTCGAGGTTTTAATTATCATTTATAAACTTATCAATCGGCAGTATTTTTCTATTAAAGGACATAAACTTTTCCCATTTACTGCTCATTTGTACGCTAAAATAGAGTTACAGTATGCGAAAGACAGAATTAATTACTGAATCTATTATATTTACCAAATTCGGAAACCATTCTCTTAATTGAAATACCACTTTCAAAAATACACAAACTATAGTCAGCATTTGGCTTTTAAGTTCGTGCTAAACGTGCTGCAATGATCAAAGTATAGTTTGATATCGAAGGAAGTTGTGATGTTCGATTGGTTGATTCAGTGATTGGATGGGATAATCTATCTCCGTCTAAAACATATCCCGATATACAAACATTTGTATGACAGTGACGCTTATAGAGCTCATGTAATAGAGAACTCTATTAATAACTAGATCAGACCGCAATAATCTCGATTTTATATGCAAGCTGTTGTAAACAGATTATTGTGCACTATATTTGTATTCAGTACTGAAGATGACCCATTCAAAACTGTTTTCATCAATTTCTATTAGTCCCTTCGCTAGATAAGGATATTTCATAGAAATCAGTAACCTCATGCGTTAATTCGATAAGACTTTTTGATCAAACTTTTGTGCATCCCGGTGTGTTTTGGGTAGAGATATTGATATTGAATATTGAATGATGTTCTAAGGTGATAAATGTTCAAAAAGCTATATTCGACGTACAGTCAATTATATGCTCATTTTCACTGCTTGCAATAGTACAAAAATTATTTACATACCTGAAACCCTGAATTTATCATGCAATTTCATCAACAAAGTACTATAGCAACTGTTTGGGAACATCGGAAACTGAAACGGTTTTCATTCCTGTATTGACTCAGTGAAAGTACGTTAGAAAATATTTTGTTACTACATGCTTTTTACTGTTGAAACATAAGACATTAAAATGTTCTTTCTCCTTAAAATTTCAGAAAACCAACGTCGTGACGTAAGTATATTCATTCAGGAAAGAAGAAGATGCCGTTACACGAGTGCACTTTATGTAAAACTGCATACAAATAACCATGAAATAAAAACTAATTTCTACCACCGCACCAATTGTACAAACACTCTTCTATAGACACCGTCACAATTATTTATTAGTATTGCAAGTTTAGAGCGATTACGACAAAAAATATTCAAGTGGTCTTATATTGTATCGTCGCGTTGTATCGTCTTGAATATTACTTACCACTCACATACACATAATTATAATTGTTTGCGAGGATTGAGATTCGAATACACGTACCTAGATCTATAAATCCAGCACATTCTGGTTATACCATATTGCTTGTAAACAAAAGTGTGAATTTGCTATTCATGTTTGTAATGAATACCATGAATTTCTACGCGTGGGCTCCCATGTTTGAAAGTACTTTACTACAGCTTCCGTCAAAACTTCCACAGATAGTATAGTAATCAGTATAGTAATCATAGTTTGCTGAAGTGGAAATAAATTGTAAGGTGCTGCCGAGACATTGGCCACCAACTGGCCGTTTTTTTGGCCTTTTGAGAACTTTAACGCGCCGTTTCTTGTGTGGCCGTTAACTGGACGTTAACGGGCCGTTTGTTTGGGCCTGGGTAGTTGATCAAAAGAATAATTTGATGCCAGTTTGATCACATAATGAACACTAGTTCATCTCGAAAAACTTATACGAATACATTTTGCGATGGAATTCCAAGGAATACAGGTCACAGAAAATTCGCCGTATTTCGTCGTAATACGACCGCCGTATACGGCTGACGTATATCGCCGTGCGTAGCCGTATACGGTCGTTTACGACCGCGTCTATTGGACCTGGGGAGTAACAGAGCAAAGATCAGCTTTTTTCTAATTGGAGTCTTACCTCTGCCTGGAATCAAATGATGCGGGACTTCAGGAGTCCATAGGAGTCCAGGAGTCCGCTTTTTCCCCCTTGATTCCATCGCATCACTACTCTCATCCTTCCTACATTTCAACTTTCGTACTTTAAGTGTACAAATTATTTAGAGAAAAGATTCGAATCGAAATTATTAACCGTTCTTGTTTTCCGGCGAAAACAGTAATTGTTAACAATTGTTAATTAATTTTCAGCTCTTGTGATTTGACAAAACCAATAGAATTTCAGAAAGCGTCAACTGTTGACTTATTTCATATATCTTTTTGTATATATTTTCTTTTCATTTGGTGATCGAAAGTCATGTTTTTGGTGATCAAAAAAATTGACTTGTAGCCAACTTTATTTTCAATCAGGTTGTACATTTTGTTTAGTCTAATTCAATCCTACTTTTTATTTAGTTTTCTTTTAATGAAGTTCTTGATTAATAAAACATTAAAAACTCTAATAGAACTTAAGTGAAATTAAATTGAGCGCAGTTGTACAGCGTTGTACAAACTGATAATTGTGACCCAGTGCTAACGTGTAATGGTAAATATGAAAAACCTCTACCTCTACCATATCATTTATGAATCTATGACAGCCTGTTTAAAACAATTTATTTGTTTATTAATTTTACTAAGCCCCCACATTGCTATTGCTAATGAAGTGCTACCCCCAAAAAAGGTCAATTGGCCATTTGAAGGAGCCTTCGGTACAGTAGACCGAAAAGCTGCGCAGCGAGGGTTTCAAGTCTATAAAGAAGTTTGTGCCGCTTGTCATGGCTTATATAATTTATACTACCGTAATCTTAAAGATTTAGGTTTTTCTGATGCAGAAATAAAAGAAATAGCAAAAAGTTATACTATCCAAGATGGACCCAATGACCTTGGTGAAATGTTTGAAAGAGCAGCCCTACCATCTGACCATTTTAGCCGCCCCTACCCTAATGAGCAAGCAGCTCGGGCTGCCAACAATGGAGCTTACCCTCCCGATCTATCGTTAATTATTAAAGCACGCTCTAATGGAGCTAATTACCTCTACTCTTTACTCACCGGCTATACTAACCCCCCTGACCATTTTAAATTAATGACAGGATTACACTATAATCCCTATTTTCCTGGTAGTCAGCTGGCAATGCCTGCGCCTTTAACTGATGGTCAGGTTAGCTATATCGACGGTACAGAGGCGTCAGTAGAACAAATGGCTATGGACGTCACAAATTTCCTACAATGGGCAGCTGAGCCTGAGATGGAAAACCGTAAATCTCTAGGCTTAAAAGTCATATTATTTTTAGTAGTCTTTACTATTTTTTTTGTTATTTCTAAAAATCGCATCTGGCAGAATGTCAAGTAAAGATAGATTAATAAAATAATTTAAGCTCAAATCTTAATTGAGAAATTATAAAAAAGGATATACTTTAATTGTCATAACCAAGCTTCTATATGTCAGCTGAAAAAAAACGCTGTTGATAACGATAGCAGTTACAGTAGCTGCACTGATTATAGCAGTAGCTGCGCCGCCCAGCGGCACCAACAGCTTTAGTATAGCCTGCGGTATTTAGCAATACAAGGAGGACCTCAGGTTAAAAAAAGACGGCAATCATCATCTTCGACCCCTAAAAGATAGAGGAGAAAGGAAGCCAAGAAATAATTGGAAGGTTGCAGGAGAGAGAATATAACTTTAAATCTTATACGAGGAATAAATAAGCTAAAGTTAGGAAAGTAAAAAACCAAATGAATCGGTGATGGTGGTAAGAAATACGCCCGACCCTGTAGCTGGGTCAATATTTAAATACTGTAATATAATTGGTATTAGAGAGCCAAAAAGACCGGCAATTAGAAAATTCAGTATAACAGCAATTGCAAAAATAAGGCTCAGGTTTGGGTCAGAAAGCATTGCTAAACTGAGCATAGCCCCTATTAACGCTAATATCAACCCATTAAAACCACATACCATTACCTCTTTAAAGATTACCTTTAACATGTTGCTAGGGTGAATATCTTTATTTGCAAGCGCTCTTACTGTGACTGTCATAGCCTGGGTACCTGCATTCCCTCCCATAGAAGCAACTATAGGCATGATAGAAGCAAGTGCGATAAGCTTAGAGATAGTGACACTAAATTGGTTGATAATTATAGAAGTTAGGCAAGCAGTAATTAGATTCATAAATAGCCAAGGAAATCGATGTTTTACTGTATAGAATAAGTTATAGAATGTATCTTGCGTATGAACTCCCCCTAGAGACATTATGTCTTTTTCTGTTTGTTGTTCAATGATATAGATCATATTATCTATTGAGACAGTGCCTACTAATTTACCGCTCTTATTTACTACTGGTACAATAGTCAGCGCATATTGCTTAAAAATAAAGCTTAATTCACTTAATTCTGTAAAGATATCAGTAATTTTAAACTCATGAATCATAATCTTTTTTATTGATTCCTCGCCGCCATATTTTAGTAAGGTGCTTAATAAGATAATACCTATAGGACGATATTTGCTGTCGGTTATAATAGCCGCATGAAAATCTTGTTTTATATGTTTGTGCCTAATACATTCTATCGCTTTTGCTACCGTCCAATCTTCGTGAAAGTAGATAAAATTTCGTTCAATTACTCTACCAACTGTATTCTCTGGGTACGTACACCCTTCTAGGATTTGCTGCCTTTTTTCTGTTTTTAAATTATTTAATATTAATTCTTTAGTAATGTCATCTAAATCTACTATTACTTCTACAGCTTCTTCTATCGCTAGCTGGTTAATTAGTTGAGCACTTTTTTGAACTCCTAATATTTGTATTATTAAAGGTTTGCTGCTAACACTCAGTTGCACTAAAATCTCCGGTTTTAAGTAAGGAGCAAGAGAAGGTAGAATTATTTTATAAGTTTTTTGATTAATGTTATCGAGGAAGTCTGCTAGGTCAGTATAGTGAAGCTTATGCATCATCTCTACTGCTTCTTTGATCTGGTCATTGTTAATAAGATCATTAATTTGTTCAAAAATTTCTTGAAATTGATCTTGATGAACAGATAATATACCTTTAGATTGATTCTGCATAATGCCTCATTGGGATTATTGAATTTTAAACGTATCCCTAATTCTAATGCCAAGATTTTTTAATAAACTTTTTGAGCAAATTTTTACCGAAAATATAGTGCATTTCGAAGGAAAAACATGCTAAGAAAGGCCCTAAAAAATTTTGTTAACAAAACCCTAAATAGCCTTGGGTAATGAGGTCTTCCTATTCTTCTTTGGTAAAATTATACGATAGCCCTCAATTCTGAACAAGAATAATTATTCTTACTAGAAAATGTGGTTAATAACAAATACACTTTTAAAGGTGCTTTCCAAATGCATTTTAATTATTTTCATTGCTTAAAACATGATTTTAATAATTAAATTATGTCTTAATGTGAATATTATAAGTTTAACAAACAGATACAAAGCCACCCTAGAGCGGATTGTTTCTCTATATGTCACCAAGATGGGGATAACTTATAATACCAAATTTGCGTAATATTGGTGCGGCCGAGAAGATTTGAACTTCCACTCTGAAATAGAACAGCACCCTCAATGCTGCGCGTCTACCAATTCCGCCACGGCCGCATTAACAATTATAGCCAAAGTAATTTAGGTGGTGATATTTAAATTTTAAGGTGAGGCTGCGCGAGGCCTTGTAGGTAATACGTGAGTACAACCAAATCCTGCAAAATTATGTATCACCACCTAAATTACTTTGGCTATATTATCTCTATTATCTTTTACGAATTGCCTATCAAAGCCTCAATAGGATCTTATAGAAACTCTAAATCATTATTGGTACTCTCTGATACAAGTTGTATTTCCCTGACTAATGCGTTTTGATACTCTTGCTCGATTATTGAGTGTAGCTTGAAATTTTTATCATTGAATGCTTCTTCTACCACTTGCTCTAACCACTGTAATCCATTACTATGTAGCAACAGGTCTTTTTGTATCATTTCTAACGCTTCATTAGTCTTACCTGCATTTACCAGTCTTGCTATTTCCTTATATATCTCGCTTACAGTTTTCTTCCTGGGCACTTACAGTTTCACTAATTATCGATTATTTATATATTTAGACTTCCTGCATAATGTTCTTCACAGAACCTATCCAATAATTAAGTCCTTTAAAAATAGTATTGGTTAACTATTAACAAATTATTCTTTATATTTCAATAGTATTTATAATATAATTTCGTGTGTTTTTTTAAGCAGTTAAGCTAATTTTGGCGCAAGCAATTCCTGCCCATTTCCTAATTCAACAACAAAATTAGGCATTACTTCTTCTTCTAGAGCAGCGATCTTTATGCGTGCTAATTTCTCCTCTAATATAGAGTATTGGTTATGAAATTTGGTAGCATTACCTGTTAATACTAACGCAGAGTCAATCCCTATTGTATTAGCGCCTAATATATCAGTATAAAAAGTATCGCCTACCATCAGAATACGTTTTTTAGAAATATTTGGTAATTTACTTAATGCCAGCTGATATATTTCAGAGTATGGTTTCCCGGTATAAATTACTGTACCTCCAAATTGCTTTATTTTAGCAGCAAAATACCCAGCACAGTACCTATACACTCCTTGTTGCATTATTCCAAGATCAGGATTAGCGCAAATAGTAATCATTTTTCTGTTAACGGCAGTTTGTAATAAACTATCAAATTTATCTAAATTTACTTTTTCTTCTTCATCATAATGTAACGTTAAAAGCAAAATATCAGCTTCATTTATATTAAGAGTAGTAGAGATCTGCGCATTCTCTGTTAGGTTATTTTGATCACTACTAAGATGATATATTAAAGGCTTATTAATAGCAAAAATTTTCTTACTATTCAATATCATATTAACCGCTAATTCTCCTGAGCTAATGATCATTTCTTTACTAGCGTTAATCCCCCAAGCGGTAAGCCTAGATGACAAATGTTCTATAGTACGCGGAGCATTGGTAATGAAAATAACTTTTTTACCTCTGTTAATTATATGATTAATATTATCTACCACTCCGGGATAATTATAATTACCTTCAACCACTACCCCCCAAAGATCAAATAAAAATCCATCATAATTATCGACTATTTCAGTAATATGCTTATAAGTTAGGCTAGTCATTTTTGTTTCCGTTAATATATACGCTTTTGATCTCAAGCATTGAATTTTATTTAGCATAGGTGAGCGCGCGGATTGTACATACTAGTACATGAGAACGCGAATCCTTGACAAAATAAAAAAAACCATTCAGATGCTCAAATGAGTATAACAGTTTAAAAATACTATAATTATGGTTAATTACGAGTAATAATATAGAAGAAATATTTTTAGTAAAATTATTTTTTCTATATTATATCAGAATATTTTAATACGGTACGGGAAAAGTATATATTTGCTATAAATGTTAGTGTATAGTTACTGTCTATCTTTTATTTATTTATTTTATTTATGTCAAATACCTCACAGCCATATATGCCAAACGAATATGGCGCTGATTCTATCAAGGTCTTAAAAGGTCTTGAGGCGGTTAAAAAAAGACCAGGAATGTATATTGGCGATACTGATGATGGGTCAGGATTACATCATATGATTTATGAGGTTGTGGATAACGCCATCGATGAATCTTTAGCAGGGTATTGTGATCTAATTGAAGTAATATTAAATCCTAATGGCTCAGTTACGGTACGGGATAATGGACGTGGCATACCGGTAGATATTCACGAAGAAGAAGGGATATCAGCTGCCGAAGTAATTATGACTCAACTACATGCGGGTGGAAAATTTGATCAAAACTCTTATAAAATATCAGGTGGGCTTCATGGCGTTGGAGTGTCGGTAGTCAGTGCCTTATCAGAATGGCTAGAGCTAAGAATTTGGCGAGATAATAAAGAATATTTTGTGAAATTTAAAGATGGAGTAGCTGAAGCGCCACTGCTACTGCAAGGAGAAGCATTAGGACCAAAGGGCACAGAAGTTACGTTTTTTCCTTCTATTACCACTTTTAGCGCAATTGAATTCAATTTTGCTACTATTGAGCATAGGCTCAGAGAATTAGCTTTTTTAAATTCTGGCGTGAAAATTTTATTGAAAGATTACCGTTTTGCTGAACGCCAAGAAGTAGTATTTTGCTTTTCGGGCGGAGTGGAAGCGTATGTAAAATATGTGGATAGAGCAAAAACCTCTTTACATCAATGCATAACTCTTAGTAGCACTAATACAGACACAGGTATTACTCTTGAATTAGCGATGAATTGGAATGATTCATATCATGAAAATATTTTGTGTTTTACTAATAATATCCGGCAACGTGATGGTGGCACTCATCTTGTAGCTTTTAAGGCAGCTCTCACCAGGCTCATTACAGCTTATATTGAAAATACTGGATATAATAAAAAGGCTAAAGTTAATTTTATAGGGGATGATACAAGGGAAGGGTTATCATGTATTTTATCCATAAAAGTACCAGATCCTAAATTCTCTTCGCAAACTAAAGATAAATTAGTCAGTTCTGAAGTGCGCCCTGCGGTCGAGAATGCTGTATATACTAAAGTGTTAGAATGGTTCGAAGAACATCCAAGTGATGCTAAAATCATTATTAATAAAGTTATAGAAGCCGCAAATGCACGGGAGGCCGCTAAAAAAGCCAGAGAGTTAACTCGCCGCAAATCTGCTCTTGAAGTTTCAAATTTACCAGGTAAACTGGCAGACTGCCAAGAAAGAGACCCTGCAGGAGCAGAGCTATTTATTGTAGAAGGAGATTCTGCTGGGGGCACCGCAAAGCAAGGACGAGATAGGAAATTTCAAGCAATTTTACCATTGCGAGGCAAGATATTAAACATTGAAAGAGCCCGATTTGATAAAATGTTGAATTCTGATCAGATAGGCACATTAATCACTGCTCTTGGCACTAGTATAGGCGAAGATTTTTCGCTAGTTAAATTAAGGTATCATAAAATAATTATTATGACTGATGCAGATGTAGATGGATCGCATATTAGAACTCTACTACTTACTTTCTTTTATAGGCATATGAGGCAGTTAATTGATAATGGTTATTTATATATAGCTCAACCTCCTTTATATAAAGTAAAGAAAGGAAATAATGAATTATACTTAAAAAATGAGCAAGGTTTACAAGAATATTTAATTAAGTCTACTCTTAACGATGCGTTTATTACTCTAAATGATGGAACGCAAATTGTTGGTAAGGAATTGGAAGGAATAATAAAAGGAGTTATTAAATTTGTGCATTTACTTGACCAAGTAAGCAAAAAATTTAATAGGCAGCTTGCAGAATGTTTGACTATACGCGGTTTATTAGGAAAGCACATATTTGCAGAAAATACTAGAAACCAAATTCATCAAGCTTTAAGTATTTTAAACCTTGGCGATTTTGCACCTGATAAAACAGATTGGCAGTTTTTAATTGCTGAAAATAATATAGAATTCTTTCGTTTTGTACGAGGAGTAAAAGAGAGCAAGTTGCTGTTAAAGGAACAATTAGACACCCTGGAATTTACAGGTCTTGCTAAGGCCTTTACTGTTATTTCATCTATATTTGTTAATCCTACAAAATTATCAATCAGGAATCAGGAGCATGATATTATATTCCCAAGTAACATGCTAGACTCTATTTTAGAAAACGGTAAAAAAGGAATAACTATCCAACGTTTTAAAGGGCTTGGAGAAATGAATTCTGAGCAGTTATGGGAAACTACATTAGATCAGGCTAAAAGGACATTATTACAAGTCAAGGTGCATGAACAAGATAGTGCTGAAGTATTATTCTCTACCTTAATGGGAGATATTGTAGAACCTCGAAGACAATTTATTCAAGAAAACGCCTTGAATCTCATGAATTTAGATGTGTAGTGTATAAGTTTACTTAATTAATGCCCTGTGTGTTTTTTTGCTACCCTCAATTAAAAATTCCAAACCACTGATTGAATGTTCTTGACTGAATTTAGCAAGATTAAAATTTAGGCAAGCACCTCCTACCGCTATTGTATTATCAGGCATTAATTGTATTTTAGTAAAATTTTGCCC